CTAGGGCCTCAGCAGAAGAAGTAGAACTCTGGATGCCTTTCCCTGAATATGTGCCTGATTTACTTTGAAATCATCTTGGCAAGAACCTCTAACTGAAGTTCAAACCTAAGCCACACTGGATAACTTCTGCAGAGCTCCCTCAGCTTTATCAGCACAGCTTTTCATACCTCATTGGCTTTTGCTAGTAATGTTGCCTTTACTGGCTGGGAATGAACCTGCAAGGGCCCTAATCTGTCTCATAAGGATCTTCTCTTAAGGATATCACTAACAGAGGTAGGAGGATCAGGACAAGCAGTTGCCAAAAAAAGAAATGTAAAAAAGCCCAAAATAACCAAGTACATTTGCCCTAGGGGACTGGCAGGTACATGAAGCTCTAAAAGTTATAGATGCTTTTACTGGAATTGTAGTTTGCATACAGATTCCTTTCCCCCAGGACAGGCATTTACTGAGAGCCAAGTACTCTTTAAAAGGAATCTGGATGTAACAAATGACTGTTTCCTCCAGGGATTTAACTTCTCAAGTCCCCAGTCAAGCAGCAGGCAGATATTTTGCTTGAAGTTAAGAATAAGAATGAACCCAGTGGTCTCTGTGTTGAGAGCCCAGGATGTGAGCTCCTGTTAGGTGTTTGAAGAGATTCTAGTCAATCCAAACCTTCATTCTGTGGCTGTAGCCACATAAATGCATCTTTATACCCACAGACAAGAGAGAGTTCAGCAGTGCACCTTTGGATGGGGTCCTTCTTCAGCTGGAGGAAGCTTGCAATTGAGATAAAAATACACAAAAAAAGCTATGGGCATGCTGACAATTGTGATGCCCACCCATCTCGATGATTATTCTCCCCTACAGCTATGGTACCAGTTCCTGCCAGGTCTCCATCATTTCTGCCTTCCTGCCTCATGGCTGGGCTGTGGAAGATTAAAATCCTTTTATTCTCTGTTATGGGCTGCCTTCTTTGCAGCAAGCATCCAGTTCAAACACTCTAAAAAATGAACCAAATAGATTTTAGAGCTGCTGATGTGAGATTCCTTTGCTGGCTGCTCTCAGGTCAGGCTGTCATGGCTGCTCTTCACAGCTGTAGTGGGATACTGGAAAACCCCAATTCTGGGTGTGCTGTCAGAGCAGAGCTCAGCCCTGCAGCTGGGCATTCATCCTGCCTCCCCCTCTTCATCCCTTGTTCCCTGCCCAGCTCTGAGGCTGGTGTGAATTGAGACAGCTCAGCAGCTCAGCTGCTGCTGGTGAGTGCTACAGAGCAGTTTACAAGCCTCATGTCATAAGCCCTGTAAATGCCTAGTAAAACATGGAATTTAATGGAAGCATATCAGCTCCTTTTAGAGCTCCTTCACCTGGTGCTGAGCTAACTGTTGTTGTGCTGCCTTTTTTAATCAGTTACCACCAAATGTGTGCATGTGTGAGAAGGGTTTTAAACGTTTCTCTGTCCACTTCCAGGAGAGTAACAGACAAGCCTACAATCCTCTTATTATGCCTTTGAAACAGAGTCCATTCACTGTTATCTGTAGCACGTGTTATCGTAGGGTTTTCTGCAGAGCTTACAGAACATATCCCTAATGTTTTTCACACTCCAGGTATGTATCTGTTAGACACAGACCTAGCAGGCACACACACAGCTCTGCAGGAATGTCTAAGTGCTTTTTTTGCTGGGTGAAAATACAAGAGGAACTCCAGCAGTAGCCATTAGTGATACCATGCAAATCAAGGGCTGAGACATTGATGCAATCATGTTAATTCTCTGTGTTAGAAAAGGCCAGAAACTCAACACTCTGCATGATGCTATCCCAGCATACATACCCCAAACATAAACACCCTGCACAGGCTAAAGGAAGACCCTTCCTTCCTGGATTTCATTTAAAAAGTGCAGCCTCAGTAGCCAGTTTGTTTTTAGAACATTCCAGGTATCATCCTCTAAATTCGGAGCCAATTTGTTTAGAACATTCAGTCATACTAACTGGAGTAATTTGAAACTGATTTCCACTTCTAATGATACCTTCCCATTCTTTTTTTCTTACTTATCTTACTGAAAAAAGTTACTGTCCATACTAATGGTAAGAATTCAAACACTTAGATTGAAAGTCTGTCTTCCATTTTCATGCATGTAAGGTATCCACTTATCTCAAAAATTACAAAGTATGTTCCAGTCCGTCACACAAATCTGAAAAAAAATGGATAATCCCACCCAATGTTAAAGTTTATCTATTACTGTCATATGGAGGTTTGTATGGATCACAGAGTTAGCATGAAAAACCTGAAGAACACAATGAGATAAAAAAAACCCACCAACAAACCTAATCCACTTATATAATGGCATGAAAGTGAATAGTACTGTGATCTTATTTGCCACAAATGCTGTAAAGAAAAGAAGCTGACAGGTACCATTACTTGTCACTAGTGCAAACACAAGTCTGTTCTGAGTTTGTTCAGTTTTTCTACCTGTCAACAGGAACAACATTAGGCTAAATTAAAATTTTGCAGAATCTGGAGATCCTAATTGGTTTTGTTCTCTAAAAGGAGCCAGTATGGGTAGTTCTGGATGTGTAATCCACTTTGTAGTCTCTTTTCATGGTCATGGGTGACCAGAATTTGACTGAATCTCTGTCTGCACTTCTTTATCCAACAGTAGAAGCTTTGAACAATCCTAGCCTCCCTGATCCTGTTTCCATTGAAAGGAAAGGGAAAAGGGAAAGGGAAAGGGAAAAAGGGAAAGGAAAAAAGATGCACACAACCAAATAACATCACAGTGGGATGCACAGAGTTCTAAGAAATACATCTTTAAAGACAGATTTCTAGAATACTTGCACTATTAATTCAGTTCTTGGTCTTGCTGTATTTTTTCCTTTATTTGCTTGAGTTGCTGCCTGCATGTAAGTAGGTAGTTAATAGAAACAGCCCTGTCCTTGGAGGCCAATATGAACTGACTGCCTGTGTCTTTGGTTCAGGTCCATTAAAAAATCCAAGCATTAATTAATCACTGACTTGCAAATAGCCTGTTCCAGGCTAAATTGGAATGTTCTGCAATTGTTTTACTTTCGGTCATAGGCACTTCAGTGATGTGAAACTTCCTCCCCTGCCAGGACAGGATGTGCCTGAATCCAATGGCTACTCCTGAGTTGGATCAGACCAGTCTAGAGAGTATTCCAAGCAGCTCCATTTCTTCCACTAACTAGAAAATTGCACACGTGAGGAAAAGACCTCACAGGCAGTACTCTGGATAGAATTCCTACATTGAAAAGGAAATAATAAAACCTTCCAGAGCAAAATGCCAGTGGAGCATACTCCACGGGCAAAGAGCCTCCCCCTGCTTGCTGTCTGCCAGGCCATCCAAAACCTGCTTCTCCTCCTTTTCCACTCAGCTGGGTGAAACCCTACCTGCAGAAACCAAGCTGCTGCTTGAGCTTCCCCCAAGCCAGCTCCAAGGTTTCCTGCTCTGAAGCCTGGTTTCTGTGCCCCAGCTGCTGATGGAATGGACAGAGAATGGAGCAGCTCTGCCTGCAGCAGGCAAGGCAAGCCAAGCAAATGGAGGCGTTGCAGCCCACAAATGAAACTTCTGCAATGTGAAGCACAGACCAGAAATCTTTATGTAAAAGGAAACTAAGCCAGTCTGATCTACCAGTCATGAAGGAAAACATATCCAAGGGAATCATGATCTCATGTGTACAGGGGCTCTTTCCATTCCTCACTGTAAAAACTGTTCTTGATAAATAAGGAAGAGAAATAAGCAGTTTTCAGAACAATGAGCAGAAAGTGAGGAAGAAGATTAAAGGTAAAACTAAGGCACAGGTTCTTGAAACACCAAAATACCAACTTAAGAAAATAAATACCTAAACCTAACAGTAACAACATTTTTTTTTTCCACAGTGGAAAGATACACTACATTTGTGCATGTTGCAAGGAGCTTTTCCTTCAGTTAACTTTACTGGGCAAAAAAGAGCTTCTATTCCTAATGCTCAAGCCTGGTAAATCACTTTAATATATTCATCTCCCTCCTTCCCCCAAATTTCACTTTCAGTGAAGAAGTCAAACCAGAAAAGCCCAAATGACAAACAATTCCTTTCCCTGCTCCCTGTTTCTTGTTCTTATTCCCACACTGAGAGCCCATATACATGGATGGTGAAGAATTATATCTCATATAAAAATTTCTCCCTTGCTATCCCCAACTTCCAAAATGCAGCAGAGAGGTAAATAGGTAATCACAGCTAATCTCTCTCCCTCTGCAGTGTTTCTAAACCTGTGGAAATTTCAAAAGCTGCCATGATAGAATGACAAAATGAAATAACACACCCAGCATTGAAGTATGGGGACTGGCTGTTTGATTGAGCATGGTGACAAAAAGAAAAAGAAAAACATAAAAGCAGATCATAAGACCAGTCAGAACAATTCTACAAATTGCTGATACATTGAGATAGCCAGATGGATATGTGTTTTTTGAGGGATGAGACACCACTTCTATTTGAGCACTCAAAAAGGCCAACAACTTTGATGGTTTTGTTTTCACAATTTGACTTCTATTTCTTTGTCAACTGGCATTGAAGATTTGTCCTCGAGGCAGCTGCAGAACCTAATGGATCCTTTTGGCTGCAGTTCAAAGGCAGAGAAGATATTTCACTCAGTACCAAAGATGCACTCTCAACTTGCTATTAAAACAGTAACACAAACACAGGGCTAATGAGGGAATAAGGAGAGAAATGAAGAAAGAAATGGAAGACTGTGGAAGGGAATGGATCACAGACTCTCCAGGACTAGCTCCTATAACAAGTGTGTGAGACAATCTCTTACAAGAGGGAAATGGCTTATTTGATCTAATGTCTTTCTCTTCTTGAATTTCCACAGTATGGAGAATCAATATGAGGGAAATTAAAGCATCAGGAGCAGACTCACATTTCCACTTGTGTGTGTTTCTATCTCAGCAAACTCTTATGGAGACAGAAGCATTTACCTTAAGTGCCTGGTTCACGTGTGCTGCAAGAGGATGGATTTCAAAAGGATACAGGCTTCCTCAGTGTAGGGCACAGCAGGAGCAGTTCCACCCAAAATGTAGCTGTAGAAGGAGACCTCCAGAGTGTAGCAGTAGGATGTGTCGTTTAAGAGCCCGCCAAGGAAGCGCCGGCCTGTCCCAGCTTTCACAGCATCCCTGTTGAACGACGTGCTGGACTGCAGGAGAAAGAACACAGGGACACGGGGAGAGCTCAGGAGTGCAGCAAGGGAAGGAGAAGAGAGAGCAGCTCCACTCACATTGCCAGACCTCATTTACACTGTATGGTTTTTGATCATGGCCTGGAGGGGAAGCACAATTCTGGCACACAGGCTATAAATGATGCCTCGCAGACTTTCACAAAATTCATCTGGGTTTATCATTAATATCAGCTTTTCCTCTTCCCTCTTGGATAACACAAAGCAAGGCAGGAGTTGAAAGTGAGCCTTCCAGATCCCCCTTGCTCAGGAGTTAAGCTGCACCATTACCTGGGTATTGGATTCCTTTGTCTCCACTGCATTCCCTTGTATCATCACCATTCCCCCAGCCCTTCACCTGGACTCTTAATCAAAGCAGAAATACAGTGGCATTTATGTTTTGGTGAAACTTTCTCACCTAAGACATTTGACTGGTTCTTAAATTAGGTCACAGAAATTTCCACTTCACTAACTTAAATGTTAAGGGGGTGTTGCTCTCTGGGTGGAAAAATCTACCTCACTTTTCTACAGCACTAGCAGCACAGTATAAAAGGCAGTATTTTGTGCTATTACTGAAGATCTGGCTTTAAGAACCCTACAGCTTTATGACTATTCATTTGAGGGGTGGAGGGGAGGACTCCAAGCATTTCCATAAATGAGTTTTAGCTCTCCTTTGAAGGCATGACATCTGGAGACTAAAGGGCAGCTCATCTTCAGGTTGATTGAAGTCTCAGAGCTTGTTCCTACCAACTAGACAGAAAAATGGATTCTGATTTCATTTTGATTTTCAGACTCTATTCAGAAACCTCATAACCATTAGACTGAGCCAATCTGGGCTCAGCACAAGCTAGTGACAACCACAAAAAAAATGATCCAACTTGGATCTGTTGTATAAAAGGTCATTCTATCTCCTGCTGTAAGAATTTTATGTTGCCAGTGAGACACAAAGGACCCTTAACACAGCTCATTGTTCAGTCATTGTGCCCATGGTGAATTCTTTGAGCTGTCCAGTGTCCTCCTATGGAGCCTTAGGGCTGCTACCTTTTCTAGCCAACACAATGTGAATATTTATGAAATCCATCTCTTACCAAAACTGGGGAAAATAAAATTTCCTTTGTATTTAAGAAATGAGATGCAATGGTTCAAAATACTGAACTTCTCTAGACTGAGAAAATCAGGTTAATACTGAAATGAGCAACAATTCTTGATAAATACTGTATACCAGGAGATATAAAAAGTAGAAATACCTGTGGGTTTATTTACATTCTGAATGTCTTGAAATCTCTCTCATTTTGTAAAAAGGAAGGTTTTCCAGCTTAAATAGAATAAAATGGAATTGGGTTTCTTATTAGCATTATATATAGGTGTTTCTAAATGCAATCTGTTGTCCGTTTGGTAACATAATATTTAACTTTAAGGTAATCTGTACACAGGATGCATTCTCCTATGTAGATATCATATAATTTCTGCCAAATTACTTAGCAGAAGCGCAGGCTATTCTGAATACCTGTGGGAGAGGGAGTAAAGCACTCATAAGGAATGCTGGGAAAATTAACTGTTAATTTGATATATGGGATAAAATACTTAAAGAGGTCTACAAGAGGGAAGCTTCTCTGGCTCCCTGCAAAATAAACCTTCAAAAGGCTCCTAAGATCCTGAAATAGAGGGAAGCTTTGGCCTCAGTTAAATTTCAGAAATAGAGGAAGATGATCATGCTCAGGGGATTGCTTCCTGAGCCAAGTGAGCACCAACTTCAGTGGAAGGTGCTTCATGTTCAAACAAATGACTGCAGTGGAACTTTTAATGCATGAGAGCACCAACTGCTGATGGAAACAAAGGGACAGGACAACAAATGGCTCAGGACAGGATATTGGGCTTTGTGAGCAGAAGCATCACTCACAAAGGGACTAAGCTAATTCTGAGGCTGTATTTGGCACAGGAAAAACAAGGAAAATGTGGGAGGAGGTGACTCAGGGAAGACATTAGGGATAGAAGTACTTCAGTGAGTAGGAGACTCAGTTACTGATATGGAACATTTGAGAAGATTATGGAATCTCATCAACTATGCTAAAAACAAAGTACAAGTATCTGCTGAGTACAGTTTGTGGTTTTGGGATACAGTTTGCACATGAAATCCTTTTCCTATTTCCCATTATCTTAATCAGGCTAAAAGAAAGCTATGAGTAGAATTCCTAATAGATGATTCTTGAGATAAATCTTACATAATATTTTCATCACAGTTCTTGGCACAGTAAAGGAGGAAGACCATGCCAACAAAATTTGCTGATGACACACTGTGGAATGAATCATCATTATGGAGGAGGTTCTGAATATCATGCAAATAAAAAAGCAGTGGGATGACTTTGAGGGCCAGAGTGATTGTAGTCAGATGAAACTCAGCCACACAAGTGCCAGGTCATGCACTGAAGCATAATAAAAAAAAAAAAAAAAAAAAATTCTGCAATAGGCTAAAACCTTGTCAGCTGGAAATATATGAAGAGATAGTCTAATGTGTTGCTTCACTGAAGTGGTTTTTGCTTTCTAGCAGAAGTTGAATCTAGGTATTGGCAAAATTATATTTGTCATATTTCAAAAGTGAAGCATAAGTAGCTTAAATATTATCAAGACAGTTACATAAATGGTAAAAAACAAACAAACAAAAAAACTCCATCAAAATTAAGAACTTTTCAGAGTTTGGATTTTTATAATGCTGTTTCAAGGGGCTTGGGGCTTTAGGTTTTGTTTAGGGGAAGTGGAGGGCTGTGTTCCTTTTTATTTTTTTGGAGTTTGTTTAATAGAAGAGCTTCAGTTTCAGCTGTACAAAATTACTTGAAATGGCAAAGGCATTAATAAAATCCTCTGTTCATTTCTTTGCCAAGTGGTACTGAATTTCCAATAATAAAAAGCTGACCCTTCATTTAGGTATACAAATGTAGAATTTGAAGGTTAATATTGTCCTCATTTTGAAAAAAAAAAAAAAAAGCCAAGTGGTACTGAATTTCCAATAATAAAAAGCTGACCCTTCATTTAGGTATACAAATGTAGATTTTGAAGGTTAATATTGTCCTCATCTTGGAAAAAAAAAAATCTGATGGCATAGGCCAACTTGGTGTCTTGGGTAAAAGATAAAATCTCTCATTTGACTCAAGAAGGTTGGGGTAAAACCTGACAAATACATGTTTTGAAACAGCAGCTTGGACCTGGCTTAGAGTAAGTGTTATAAGCCAAAATATGATTTGATATTTTATAGGAAAAAAGAAAACTACAGATAAAAAAAAATTTAGGTAATGACAAGAAAGAGCAGCAGGTACTTGCTGAGTCTGACCTTCTGCTCACTGTTTTAGGTCAAGATAAAGGGAGTGGGGAAAAAAAAACAAAAAAACCAACAACGACTTGCAAAACTCTGGCTCCTCACCACAGCTGATCTTGAAGTTTTGCCCATGCACATTTATTTAATCAAACCCTAATCTGGGGAAAAAAGGGATGGGGGTGGCAAGAGGAGGGCACAAACACAGGGAAAATTGTCTGGAAATGAGTCTCTTGCTTTTCTGGGAGAATCTATTTCCCTAAATCCCTTTGCAAAGCTAAACTGAAGTCATCATTAGACAAATGCACTGAGCAGGCACAGCAGGAGAACAGCTAAACAAATATTTATTTCTCCAAGGCTGAAACGCATGGGAGTGTTAACAACAGCAGCAGAGAGAAGCACAGTCTGGAGGGTGGGGGGAACACCAAAGACTTTGAAGTTCTTAAATAGTAATATTTGTATAAAATCAACAGTAATGCATTATTAAAACACACAGATACATTAAAGCTCACAGAAGGACTTTGCTTCCCAGCTGGTGTGAGGAAATTCAGTGAACAAATAACTATCCACAGAACTAGAAGCTGCCAAGAAATCCAGTGCTAAAAGAGCAGAGAAGGAACGGCGAAGGATTCCCTTACTTTCTGGTGGCAAGAAACTCACCAGAAAAAAACAGATTTCAAACACATTTGGGAGCCTCAAGGTGTGCTGACTCTCTCTCTACACATCGAGCATTAGTGGCAGCTTCCCCAGGCCTCCCTACCAGACTTCATTCCTCCTCCCCATGCTGTGCTGAGTGTCCAACTGTGTGACCAGTTTCCCTGCTGGGAATGGCAGTGAACAGCCAGGCAGTACGGAGACATTTGTGAACCAACTGGACCTTATTCAGGCATTGCAGCAGACAAAGATGTGTGGAGGGAAATAAAAAAGAAAAAAACAAAAAAAAAAGCATGTAAATTCTTTTTGGAGTGATGTCAAAGCAGAAAAGAATCTTGGCCCTTGGTCAGACCTGTCGAAGTGCCAGAATCCCTGTCCCTTGGCTGGTAAGGACACTCAGTGGCCCAGTAAGGCTGGTGCCCCACAGTGTGTCTCCTCAGTGAATTCAGCCTCCTGGCAGGCAGTTTGTGAGCTGCACAGCCTGGGCAGCTCCCCCAGGGCTGAGGGATACTCTGGGCTCCTCAGCACCGCTCCACCTTCCCGCTGACAGCGACCGGAATGAACGCACCGGGCAGCCCATGGTTACAAGTGTGCTGATTGCCTCTGCGTGCCTCTGGCAGTCACAAGAGGGGCTCCAAAAGGCAAAGAGGGACATTTCTCACACATCTGAGACTGAATTTGTCCTGTCTGAATTTCCCTTTGCAGCCCTGATGGGCTTGGATTCTGAGGGGCCCTTCATGGTGGGAGTGTTGGCTGGCCAGGCCTCAGTGTGACCTCAGAGGGGACTGGGCTTGCTTCAGCACCTGAGAACCTCAGGTGGCACAAAAGGAGAAACTGGAGGCAAACACCAGTAAAACTCGATCCAATCGTGAGTGGAAAATGGGATAACAAAAAGGGATGGAATGTCAAACAGGCTGTGTCCAGCCAGTGATGGACGGAAGCTTAATTCTACCTTTCATTGATGGCAGGACAAAGGGACCTTCACATCCAGAACTTTTTTTTGGGAATGAATCTTTGTCAT